TTTTTCTTTTTCAACTGACCCATCTCACTTTAGAATCCGCAGCCATGTCCCTCGATAGATGGTAATGGAGTAGAAATCAGTACTCGAAGGAAAAAGTTGCGCAAATTATCAAGTAGGAATATGTGACGAAACAATCAAGAAAATCGAAAATCATTAACATTCTCGAATTCAATATAATATACATATATGTGACCTAAAAAAGGGTGGTTTTCGTTTCGTCTAGGATAGTATTTTTAATCTGAAAACGACATATGAAGGTTTCTTAAAACAGCACGTCGTAATCATTTTTGAACATTGAAGTTATTTGAATAATTGGTTGGTTGTTATGAAATAAAAGCGTAAAACCTGTTGGTTTTCATCACCTTTGTTTATACATAAATACAGTTATACTTATTTGTACGATTAAACTAAAAATATAAAAAATACTATTAAGAAAAAGTAATACAATATAATAAATAAAAACAACAAATGTTGATTAATGAAAATAAAAACTATACAGTTATAATAAAGAAAATATGATAAAACAGAATTTTCTTGAAGGAGTAGGAGGGGGAAAGAGAGAAACCAAAGGGATAAAGTTTTAGTTGTTTTTAAAATTCCTTCTTCAGAGAGGAAAGATATGATCCTACCTATTCACTATTTTTTATTATCTATGTTCTTATTTGTGGTAGAAACATTTTTGTATCTTTTGAATAATATGAATCATTGGATTCAATGATTCAATCCTTTTCAATTTGTTTTTTCGACTATTATTAGCCGTAGTTCTTTAGATCTCCAAATATTATTTATGATGAAAACATTTTTATATCTCAAGGATCATAGATTTCGACAAAAACAGTCGATTGAAACTTAGCTATGGTAAACTGATGTAAAAAACTCATGTTAAAAAAATTAATTTTAGAGATTAAGGAATCAAATTTATCTGAATTTTTCGGGTTTTGGAGTTTGAATATCACTGCCGGCCTCCGTTCGATATAAGGGTTATATTTATATCGAACTTGAGCAAATAAGAGATAAGTGAAGTAAAGGTATTATAAAAATTTTATGAAACGCACGGATATTAATCAAAATCGCTGTATTCAACAAATAAAATTATTCATATTTTAATAAAAGCCTACATTCATATGAATTTTATATATTTACAAGTAACTGCGGTAATTTTTTTATTTAATACTAAAAGTAATATATTATAATTAACTAAATATCATGGGTTATCTTTGTACACATAAACTAAGCAAATAAATATAATAAATTTTATCATACTCTGACAGAGTAGCCTAATTTGTAAATATACAGGTTTTTCATAGCTAAAAGAGAAAAAAAAGAAGTAAATTTTCATTCGACAACTTCCTGAAAAAGAAGACAGGAAAACTTTTCTATATATAGTTAAAGATAAACTATTGACAATTTAATTAAATAATTATGATTAAATTTATCATTATCAAGAAATTAAACAAAAATGCCAAAAAACTCTTATTATTTAAGGAGTATGCATCATTTTGCTCCGAGTCCATGCTCAGATGAAGGTTTCTTTTTAATAATATCGTCTCTGAACCTCTCTCCATTTTATTTGTGACTTGTTAGTATGTTGAAGAGTCCATATCTTTTCGTCAGAATCACCTTTTCAGATTCTATACTCATAAACTGTTTACCATGTTATGGTCTACATAAATAACATATGAAGTCTCTTGTGTTAGTAGAATTTATCGTTCCTTAAGTTTCATCATAATCACTCATTTTTTTCTTTGCTTTATGTTATCACTACATACTTTTCTTCGTGCATACTTGTTATATTGATAAAGAGTAAATACATTTTTTCTCTTTTATTGTGATTGGTTTTATTAATATTATCAGACCAACTTATTTATTTTATTATTAGTTCAGTATGCTATACGCGAGTCAAAAGTAATATATGTTTTGAAGTAGATAGGCAGAACATGTTATGTCCTCAATATCTCTGCACACATTTTAAAATTAATGTAACAACTAGTTTGTGTTATGATTTTAGTCATCTTGTTTTAATTGATTCTATTTTTAAAGCCGTCAAACTCCCAAGTTTCAACAGATTGCCTACAATCAACGTAACACAAATCACTTTTTCCGGTTTGTAGGAGTTTGAAGAGCGTTTTGTTAAGGCTAACTGACACAATTTGCTCGGCCATTCTGGTATTAAATGGCGGGAAACAGATTGGATTAAACGCTCTGGAAGCTAAACAATCAGAGCATAATGGTGGACATTACTGGGGAATGGGAACGTCACATGGTGCTTGCTTCCTCGCTGGGACATTTCTGCGTCTGTCGGAACCGCCATATATATTTCCTCTTACAGACGGTTTATTTCTCTTATGTTACTCCAAATGGAATTTCTCAGACATCGGAATGATAATTGAACGTCGGGTTTTTGAATAATGTTGTCAGAAATATTTATTAATTAAATTTTTAAATATTTTAAAAGAGAAAACTAGCGCGAGGGTATGGATTGACGGGATGTCTTCGAACCTTACGAAAAACTTTACGATATAACGGTTCAAAACTTATAGTTTAAGAAAATTTACAAACCCTTAAGCATTACAAAAAATCGTTTTAAGGAGAATAGTAGAAAAATAAAAATCTTCCCTTATATAAATAAACTTTAGGATATTATCTAAATTCACAACAACAAATACCCAATGTACATTTATTTGGAATGTTTATAATAGGAGTTGATTTAAGTATAATATTCCAAGTCTATTTTTTTATTTGTTCTTTCTTTGCTTTAAGACTTGTAAAAGCAAGTCCTATTTTGTTAATTCCTTTTCGTATAAATAGCTCAATATCAGCAGTTATTACCTAAAACATAGCCACACAATTAAAAAGCGGATTTAATTCTCTAACATCAGTAGTCATTCTTATAAATAAATATTTCAAATTTTTTAGCAAACGAAGCTTCGAGAACATGAACACAGGAGCGTCGTTCAACCCTCTCCCCTATAGTTTGTGTACACAACAAAAATGTAAAATTTAAGATTTGAGAACAAACTTCAAAATATACTCAAAGAGTTCCTAAATAACTTTAGTTATTTCCTAAAATCGCCTAATGTAATTAATCTGTCAACAACCCATTTGATCAGTGCTAGATGCCAAATTAAGAAATTGGGATTTTATGGATATAATGTATCTAAATAGAAAAGAATATTTATTGTAGCAAAATTTTAATGTTCGTAACAGTAAGACAAAAGTTAAAAAAAAAATGTTTAAAAAAGTTAGAAAACTGTACACCGTATTTTTTTTTTATGCATGCATTTTGTTCAAACAACTAAAATTTCGAAATTTTGTTTAAACTAGTAAAAATTAATATTTTTTCTCCCCATTTTCTTTCCAAAAATAAATTGTGGTGCCTGCATAACTATACTTATATTATTTGCATTGTATCCGTTTATATTTCCATTAAAATTATTGAGTTTAGTTATTCAAATCATACATATTATAATATAATGAGCTGCTTAGCGCTTTTATTCTTGAGAAATATATATTTATGAAATTCAGTTTTTTATTATAATAAAATATAATTGTTATTATTCAACGGTATGAATAATTTCAGCTATATTTAAAACTAACATTGACGTACCAATAGTAAAATCTCACATATATGACAAATAAACCGCATTTTACCTCTGAACTATAAATCATTATAATAAGCTATTCCTATTACATTCGTCTTCCGTGTTACCTAAACCAAGAATCTAAAGACAGTGGCCCAGATCTGCTTCACTAATAACCCACAATTCAGAATCTGTTAGTTTATATAGCTCAGTTTATTCAGTTTATATAGCTGTTAAAATCTGTTAGTGTCATAGCAAGTAAATCAAGAACAAAAAAAAAGTTTGTAAGATGCAGGGTAAAAAATAAATAATAATTGCTAAAGAATAAGAGGTAATTTAACTAGGGATGGTATAACTAAATAAAAGAAAAATCCTGATATAATAATCGAAGAAATTGTATTTTTTTTTTTTTTTTTTTTTTAGAGGAATTAACTTTATTCTGGGGCAAAATTCCTTAAGAATAACAATATTGTACATAAAAATTAACATAACATCTGGCCAAAATGCATATTACAATAAAAAAATAAGTAATAACAGAAGTATTTACATAACTATACAGATATATTAAAGAAATGATATGAGCAATATGGTCACAATACTGCAAAATAGTTGCTACAAACAATAAACTATGGAATACTAAATGAAATTTGAAATGAACGATAAATTACTTTTGTCGTCATACCATTGCATTAATGAAAAAAATAATAATAAAAGAGCAGATAAATATTTACTGTAAATGATATACATCTGTACCCTAATGTGTTCAAATGAATACAACAATAAAGAGAACAACGGTTGGGGTGATCAGTCAGAAATAAGAAGGCAAAAATAAAAGATAATATTTATTTTGACAATCGCCGAAGTTTCGACCTGAAGTTCAGGCCTTCATCAGGGCTGCTCCCAAAAGGTTGTTGGAGTACAGTATTGTCACCAAGGTTGTTGGAATACAATAATATTGTTGTAATCATTATACAAGTCTTATATAATCTATATCATAAGATGTAGATTGATCGGAGAAAATAAAAGATGATATACATATAGAGGAGTGCATTCAATTAAATACTTCTCAAAGAGTAAGAAATGTCTTTATTAGACTTGTTTAAAAAAAAAAAAAAAAAAGAAAAAGAATGAAAGTGTATGCAAAAAAAACCTCGGCAGGTGGATGCCGTGGATCCTACGTTAGAAAGTGCAAGAACATTGCAAGAAGCGGCAACACCGGCAAGACAGGAGGACGGACAAGTCCGAATGTAGAGACGTTTGGAACGTAGTTATGGACTGGAGGAAGACGACGATGAGTGAGAAAGGTTGTTGTAAAGAAATGTTTGAAAAGCAGAGATTTGTAGTCAAGGAAGAGTCCGGAGGGAAATATTGAGATGCAGCCAGCAGCCGTGAATAGATAAGCGACTGGGAGGTGGTGTGATGTTTAAATCATACCTCCCGGGATCGGCCCTTGTTTCTTCTCACTGCTTCGCTATATTCATGAATATAATTTCCAGATGCCAAGACGCTGACGCAACTCCTGTTCGAGGTCATATGTCACCTCATACCTTTCGCGAAGAGTGCATCACGCTAGAGTATCCTACGCTCGATTGTTGTATCAACTTTTCAGAGGCTGTGCGTCACGATCGAGCTTTATATGATCCTGAATCGTATTGCAAAAACAAAGATCTGCTGCTTATGATTATATATATGTTATGATAGTAAATAACTACAAGTTGATGGTTGTCACCTACAACCCGCACTTAGATAAGTAACTTAAGATAGTAGGATAATAAGTCATATAAGAAATATTAAAAAAACATGTTTACCATTGAAAAGGACCTACGAGGAGCATATGACAGTTTGAACCTCCACCAGAATAAACGGTTCAGTCCAGGGGTGCTCAGGAGAGGGTTACATGGCTCAAGTTGCGCCATCGAAATTTTTGAGGGGACAAATTTCGACGAAGTTATGAATAACTCGGACTAAGGGACAAGGGGAAAAGCGTGGAACATACCGTAGCAAGTTTAATTGTATATGATCTACAATTTTTCTAATTCTACCTTAGCTTGCTCTATTTCTCATTTTTTTTTCCGTTTTTCTGTTTTGTTAAACTATTGGCATTAAAAATAAAAATAATTTTTCATAGACACCATATCAGCATAGCATATACTGCTATTCTCTTTTCTACCTTTTCTCTCAACTAAAAGATAGGACAGGCCAAGACAAATTATCGAATGTGATTTATGAAAAGAAATGCTCCGATTGTGGCGAGAAGTACATCGGGCAAATTTCACAGAATTTATAAAGGAGAATTTATGCTCACAAATAGAGCGTCGAAAAAAAAAAAAAAGAAGAAGAGACGGCTTAAGCCCGCTATGCTGTTATAAAGAGGCATACATTTAATTTTGATAAGGTGAGAGTCCTAAATAATGAAAATAATCAACAAAAAAGATTGATTCTTGAAACGATGCACCTCGAAATGACAAAGAAGACAATAAACACGCGTGAAGATTTAGCCAAGTTAAATAAAAAAAAAAAAAAAGAAGATATTTATGACCTATTGTTCGACTACAATTACTATCTTAAGTTATAATATATAAAGGTCGATTAATAAAAATATTGTAATGTTAAATAAATAACCTATGTAATTTTAGCGGTTTCCAATAACAATCCTCAAAGGGAGTGTTACAACAAGTACTTTATTTTTTTTTATTACAAGGATTTTAAATTATCAACAAGATTTTTATTTTACTTTTTTTTTTTTTACATTAAAATCGTAATGTGTGAACCAAATTAAGCGCTTCGGAACTCTGAAGGTTCGGTGCACGATATGACAATCGACGTTCATACTATAAATACAAATATATGGTAACCTTTAAGATCAGTTGTTGAAACTGTTACTTTAAAAAAAAAAAATCCATGTTAACAGTTTGTTTAAAAGATTTTAGGAAAAATGTTCCGAGGAACATTTGGAAGCTATGAATAAAAGTAGATAGATTTTTTTTAGCGAAATCGAACGAACTTTTCATTAAGATTTTTTTTAAAATAAAAGTTATGTAAAACCTTTACCTGAAAAGATGGAAGAGAAAATGTTCCAGTTCCAAAATATCTAAAAAACTATTGACAATAAAAACTACGTTTAGACACGAAGTTGGACAGTTTAGAAACGAAAGTTTCAAACAATTTTTAAGATAATCTAGTAGGAGTACATATTGACGAAAAAACAAAAAAATACTTTGGTTTTTGCTGAAGATAGATTTTTAAAACTCATGTTAAAAGTGATCGTCAGAGTTAACAAATAATCAAGAAAACACACTAGCGTCACAAGAAGCGTCACTAGCCTTTTGTTTAAACTTTCCGATTAATCATCCATCATTTAAACACTCTGATAGTTCAAAGGTCAAAGGATTAATTAATTACTATTTTATGTAGAAAGATTTCTTGATCTATTAAACGAATTGACATTATCATCATTATCTAAAGTGGTTTAGATGACCACTATGAAATAAAACATACCTAAAGATAACGGAAGTGTTCTAAATTTATCACTACCTTTTTTCACTTATTCGATAAAACGAATTAGATTGTGATATTTTATTTATTTTTAATAAAAAAAAAAGGAGCAGTACGATGGGTTTATTTACGAATGTTTTAATTATATAACGTGATTCAATCAAAATTAAATTAAAACATTTCTGTCATTAATAAACAGTAGAATTGATTTTTCAAGTTATTTTGTTTTCCTAATTATTTTTTGAAATTATTAATCGTTTCATTTTAAAAAACAATTAATGCTATTGCATTTACAAAGTAAAGTTCATTCGTCTAAAATACACCATTAATACCAAAGTTCTGATATTAATACATATTATTTAATTGTAAATAGATTTTATCATTATTAAAATATTATATAATAAAATCTTAGTCCAAATGGATAGATGAAAATAGAAAAATGTATGTGGATGTATCCAAAATTGAGTGATTATGTTTGGGTATTAAATAAATATTTAGTTATATTCTCAGTGTTTCTTATCGATAACCCTCTAATTGGTGAATTTAGTACAGTCAAATCGGATAGTCATATGCAAAAAGGTTAGTTAAATTTGTATACAATTTAAAAAAAAAAATATTTATTGAATATTACAACATTCTATTACTTGGACATTGTTTATAGTGAGGTAATATGAAATTTATACAGATTACAAGTTAATTTATATTTCACGTTAAATTTTGTCTAACAGTTCGGATTGTTATCACAAGACAAAAAAAAAATTCAATTATATACAGTTTGATACTGATGAATAAACTATCTTACGTATCTAACCTACCTATTCAAATTTGCATAGTATTACTAACGTGTTTACAATAAAATTTTACCCAATGGCATCTTAGGTATCATAGGCTAGGATTTGGACGAGATGCCTGGTAGTTGTTTTTGGAATGGAGCAAGAACAATTATTGTACAATAATACATTATTTTAAAAATACATTTAAAAAATAGAATCGAATGCAAAGAAATATAAATAATTTTTATTTTTATGATTTTCCACTAAAGCAATGGGTTTTCTTAACCGGAATTTTCTAAGAATTTCTGGATAACTATTTCTAAGCATTAATCTCAAGGACGTTTTCCATTTCCTCTTCCCAATTTATTCTTGTTTTACTCTGTCTTCTTCCATATATATTCCGTACCATTCGCTATATTCCCTCCGTCATACTTTTTAAAGTTTCTGACTACTCTATACTTCCAATTTCTCGAACCCCAATTCTTCCAAGTGATTTTCTACTGCTTCAAGCTTTTCATTCTTGAAATTATTAATTCTGTGAAACTTTCCGCTCGTGGTCACTAGGTTATTTTCATAGCAAGAAATATCTTTTTTTGGCTTTTATGATCCGAGGTTTCTATCCTGTCATCGTATTCAATATAAATATTTAAATGTATTTGTTTTGGTTTTACATACATATATTCAACTCCGTGATACTGAGTTGAGCATAGGTATTATATAAAATCTTTCTTATTTTAGTGTCGTGGAAACTATATATTTAAAAGCCAGTTGAACCGATCGTTGTTAACCTCAATTATAATAATTTTGATTAGTTTAACACTAACGTAAACAGTTAACACAACTTACTAATCCAACGTTAGACCTTGATAAAATATTTAAACCATGTTAAAGTATAACCATACATACCGTAATTTTTAACAACTAACAAATTTGTTCTTCTTCTGAGAATACTTGTATATTGTTTTTGTTTAAAACGTTTTTCAAGACAACTACAAATATGATTTCATCTGAAAAATTCTTCTGAAGAAAGTTTATCATCAGATGAAGACTAGTTAAATCTGTTTTTGCGGTTCAGAAAACCTGCTTCCTCCTTGTCTTTTTTTCCATCTTTTTTACAATAATTAGCAAGCGATAATCAATCAAATAAACTAACACCTCGTTCATTGTAAATATCAAAGTTCACAAGCAAGTGGACGGAAGGTTTCATAATGTAACCCTATAGTCCGTGCTACGGACCCCTTTTTATCAAATCATTATCATCTTCCTGAAACTTCGGAAATAGATTCAGCTCATCGTAACCTAAAAATATTTTAATTACGAAAATTCTCAGAATTAGGGCGTTTTTAAACCGGTGATCGGAAAACTTTGTCTATTTAATTAGGTACTAAAACCTCATGAATACCCATTAGCTTTCCTCTTGAATCCTAACATATGATCACAAAATAAAAAAGAAATTTAGCCTACAGTATTTAGGCGCTTGGCTTATACAGCCTTGTTATTTTAATTTTATCCGGGGGAGGTCACGCCAAACGGCATGATTTCTTTAAAATCATAAGTTCTTGCTATACGTCATAGATAAGATGACTCTACGCGTTAATGCCTAATTAACTAATTCGTTTTCCAATTTGATCCAAATTTTAACATTGGTTAAGTTTTAACGTGAGTCAGTTAACAGAGAATGTTAACTTCGACCGCAACACGGCTTCAGTTATGGGAGTCCAGTGATGACTGGTATTTTAACAAGTTATATTGGAGGAATATAACTGGATTATAGATACAAGATAATACAGCGTATCAGTTGCCGGCACAATGGCGGACTAGGCGTACGGCGAAGCGGAGTACGCTAGCTATGAATGGAATGTCATCACCTGACCCGGTCCTAGTAGCGGCCTTTCCCGAACCACTCAAGGCAGCTATTCTGAGAAGCCAGCTTCATCGTCCTTCTTCCAACAGCTTTCCAATTGCTAATGCTCCCCTTTCAGGCATTTTTCTGTTGTTGTTGTTTTTTTTTTTTTAACTCCCTTTACGTAACACATTCTTGATCGGTTTTGCTGTTCGGAGAGCTAGGTATCGGGAATCCCTATATCGAGAATACCTCGGTAAATTCCTTCGCTGAAATTTCCCGGTTTTCCGCCAGCTATCTAAACGAGAAATGTTTTAATGAAGGAAGAATGCGAATGAGCACTACCACAATTTTCAGTCTGAGATTTATTAAAAGACGAAGCGTTGCCAGTAATGAACTATATTATATAATTAATTTTAATTAGTTTCGACCTACGTTGTATGTCTTTTTGAGGACATTCCGTCAAGCACTGCATAAGGCACTAGAGTCGCCGTACTGCCTTCTGCAGTGCCTGACAGAATGCCCTGAAGAAGACCTACAACGTAGGTCGAAACGTTGCACAATGCAATAAATATACTATTATATAATATCTTTAACCACAACCCGACTAACTTCTTCTTAAATTAGAATCTACGGTCAACCATCTCCACACCATAGGTTTTCCATTTTATTGTGTTCAAGTAGATCGTTTAGGTACTAGAAAAATGGATTTGCTTGAATTTCACAAGATTACTGTGCACACTAAAAAATACTGATTTGTAGCATTATTATAGCAAAGCTAAATTACAAGTTATCTCTAGTTGCGTTGTACACTTTATTTAAAAATACCACGTGCTTGGATTAGCTCAGGTAAGGAATAAGACAGGATTTATCTTGAGCCCCCGGGTGAAGCCAGCGATAATTGGCCTAGAAATATTTGAAGTCTTGGCTGAGGAGAGAGACAGAGAATGCGTGCGAGAGAGAGGGGCTGAGAGGGGAGGAGGCATTATTTTAAAGGGCGAGGTAGCCGTGGAATGCGGCGGTGGGGAGAAGGCAGCTACCGTCTTACACACCAACCGGCCTCTCAAGGCAACCCCCACCACCCTCCTCCTGCTCTCTGTTGGTATTGCATGTTAGCTCAGGCATTCGGCCTCTCTCTTCCACCTCCTTTTCCATTCCTTAAGGTAACACCACCATCCTACAACAAAGATTGATTCGGACTTGCCAAATCAATACAATTAGTGGTTAATAAAAAGGTAAAGCACCCATCGGCGTCTTCTTCCTTGAAATTAATATTGAAGACTTCCGGGGGAGAAACCTGCTAACTTGCGTTGGTAAGCTAGTTCAGTTTTCCGATGGCAATATTCCTTTGAGTGTATTCCTTTTCCTTTACAACAAAAAAGCCATCTTGCCATATTGATATGTATACTCATTGCTCCATCCATTCTTTCAACAAGATCCCTGTCCAAATCATTCCATATAAGATCTTCCTTTAAAAAATACTTTATCCTGCCAACCTTGTTTTGGGATTCCTTACCCATCTCCAAATCTTAAACCTCACCTTTAACTTTATTTAAACACCAATTATTTCTCCTCAGCAATAAATCTTCTGAATGTACATGAGATTTAAATTATAGTAGTCAGTCTTGCCAGCCTTATGTTACTGTTACTTATTGTGCAAGACTTTCATTTCCATTATTCATTTTCATTACCCTAAGATTCCGAAGTGGATACACTGTGTTGGTTCAGTCTGTAACAACGTGCTTTGAGTAGACATGTACTGCGCTACTACCTTGCTGCAGTTTGAGAACCCTAGTTCACTACACTCGTTGTGCAGTTAGGTTTTATTTGTTTCCATTGTTTTTTTTTATTTCAAAATTCTCGGTTTCTTGAAACCTTCGCTTGTGCCCCAAGAGTAGTGTGCCGCAAGATAGTAGCGCATGCCTCAAATAAAGCACGTTTTTGTAGACTTAACCGACAAAGTGTATCCACCAAGGAATGGCCATAAACTAAATTTTATCCACTACCCCAAAGTTATCCCATCTTACGGAATTTATGTTCACGTCTCAGAATAAAATTTACTTTTCTTCTTCTTGTTGTATTTTACCCTTTTGAGTTTTTTTCCGCATTCTCTGAAAGACATTTAATTATAAGGATGCGCTTTCCGTATTCAGTTCCATGTTGATGACACATAGACTTCAATATGTGGAATTTCCTCATTAGGTAAACGACGAGGAACTTAATGCAGAAGGAAGGAGGGGTACCAGTTAATCTAGGATTCTCTTACATGAGAGTAGAAAAAAAATGCAAGAACAAGGAAAATTAAAAGCAGTAGCAAAGCGTAGTTAATACATAACACAATCTTAGTGCTTGTTTTGCTTACGCTGTAGTATATTTGTAAAAAAATATTGTAAACCATGCTTGCCAAGTATGCTTATACGTGGGTAGCTTTCCTTAGATTAGATAGAAATATAACCACATCGCAAGTTTTCCGATGCATATGCCTAAAAAAAAATCCAATATGGCATTAAACTGGCCGACATGAGGTATTTACATCATATATCTTATCCTTAAGACTCCTTCATACGAATAATTTATTTTTATGAAGGAGGTTCAAAATGATAAGAATCTATTTATGCTAATTTTAGTCAGATTTTATTTATTTATTTATTTTTGTTAAATTTATAATTGTTATATTTATAACAGTAGCGATATAATAAACCAAATTGAAAATAATTTATAAGAATTATTGCATATAATGTCGTTGTATAAATAAATCAGAGGATTTTCCTCTGGGTAGTAGGCCGGTATGAAGTCGTTTCATAATTATACATAAATCAATAGAACAACAGTTAATACAATTCTTAATATTAATCGTTCATTAAAGATGGTTGGCAACTCCACAAGGAATTGTTATGAAAATTATTGAGAATTAAGAAGATATAAAAAGTCAAAGTTGTACTAAGTTTGGACAGGATTCGAGTATTCTTGCATTAATCCTCTTTCAGAAGTAATACTGTTTTAATTGGAGAGATGTTTTCGACTGAAGCGATCTATTTTTTAGTTTTTTTCGCGCAAACATCATTGACCCCGCCATTCACCAAGTTACCTTATTGTTTTACAATCTCCTTCACGATTGCAACCCGTTAACCTTCAAATCTTACCGGCAACATTCCAATCATGTCGTTAAGGTTCACAGCGCCAAATGAGATTTGCAACTTACACCAACCACCTGGCCAGCTGTAACCAAACCTAAAATCCAAAAGTACTCTTTAAAAGTTTAGAGTCTTATTGATCAATCGGCGAAGAAAACGTCGTTTCAGTCCACAAAAAAGTAAAAATTAGTTAACACAGCTTTTAAAATACAGAGCAATAGTATTACTAAAGCCCTTTTTCATTTCAATCTCTATCTAAGAAAAGCCCCTTCTGGACAGACATATTTGCCTACATACATCAGTCAATATTCTTATTTTATTCACATTATTATTTTTTTTTTTTAATGAGCTCAATGTATGTCCTAGTGTTTCTGTCTGGGAGTTAATCCTCTATATTAATATTCGAAAGAGATTATTATTTTAATGGAATTCTGGAATGATTGGTATGTCGCGAAGTCCGTTTGTAAATACTTAGTATCAAATCTTATCAAGACTTACAGATGGTCGTCGATTATTTTATGCAATATCTTCGACTAGAATGAATATACTCTTTGAATGTTTAAGGTTATAAAAATATTTTATGTGGATTCACCAATTCAGTTTATTGCCCCTTCCTTCCTAAATGCTACAGATATCTAGGAGAAAATACTGATTCAGCGTGAACATCCTTCATCTTTATTTTTCACTATATAACTTCGTCACCAATATCAATGATATAGTTTTGATGATTCTAACAATTTAGAAGAATATCTTCTCAAGCAAATAATCATTTATCAGTACCGGTTGGGTAAAAGTGATAATAGCTAATGAAATCGGAGTAAAATATTTGAACTTCAAATGAATGTCCTAAAAGTGATCGACAAGAATAAATAATTTCTATTTTGAATTCGTATTAATATTTAGATTTAATACAACTAACACATCCACTCCTCCTGTATGGAATAATGAGACAAATCAAAAACTTATTTTTTTGTAAACTTAGACATGGCTACAACTTTGAATTGCTGGTCGATATCGATGTATTTTTGAACCGTAAATGATTCCAACCATTTATGTATGAATGAATGTGTACCTCATATTTTCCTTGCAGCTCCTGAAATTTCTTATTAACTGTTTTATTAGTGAATATGAATGAGAAACAAATTAATAGTACAACTTTATTAGCGCTTAGAAAAATAATTTAACTAACTTGTAAGTATGCCATGTCATTTATATACGATTTATTAGCAGTAGGTTTTATTTCTGTTTCAGTTTTTTTAAAACGAAGAATTGCTTCATTTCATTTATTCAGACAGACAAATCTTCAGACGCCTTTATTGTCACTTTAAACGCTCATATATTCGCTTTCAAAAATAATAGAAACGAAAAAATTGTATAATTTAATAGAGGAAATAACAACTGTGAAAATAAAATCTTTAAATTTATTTATTAGCAGTAGTGTTTTTGAAACGACTATGAATAAATTAATATTCATATGTGCGGTAGAGGGGATGATTAAAATCGTTGATCGTTGTAGATTCATCAATAAAATTAATTAATTGGCATATCTATACTTATGAAAATCGATTTTTAAATAGTACGAAACGTAAAATAGGTGATCGATTTATTACAATGTCTTCCATTGATGGTATTCTCTAATATCTCTACCGAATTCTTTGGTCTCTCTCAACAACTACTATGGGATCCGTCCCTAGCTTGAAATAAATCTTAACCTGAGATTTTAGCCTCAATTATCTTAATTCTATGTAATGGTTTGATAGCTTTTCTAATATGACAATAATATTTTCTCTCATAAAATAAGAAGTCAGCTATATACAAAAAACATCCTAAACCTCGTCGACGTCCACACTCCGGAAGAATAAACCATCAGACATCAAGCATAAAGAATCAGCTTCCGGAGAAGGCCGGAGTTGGGTGGGACCTGACGGATGGTCCCAGATCTACCTGTTTCCACTTCACGCTGCATAATCTCCACGGGACCCTTTCTAGCATTATCAATCCTTTTCCCAACTTCACTGTCTCTGACCGAACTCGCATTAACTTTCTCCTTCTGGATTCCAGATCTATGAATTGGATTCGAATGGCAGAGAACAAAAGACAGGTTGTGCATGAAGTCAGCAAAGTTAGATTTTCAATCACGGAGCTTCCTTATTGAAAGGAATTACTTGGTGGAATGTCATTTATTTCGCAATTCAAACATGTACACAGATTCTAATAATCCTCTCTTAAAGACTTATGTAAGCGTTTGAATGTTGATTTAAATCCACATGGTCTTCAAACAGCTGATGTGCCAAAGAGAATTATCCTATTCAAATATGCGACGCAAGAGCCCATCAGCCAAAAATACTTTCTCTCAAAGAGCTAATCAACAACCAATACGTGTCGGAATCCTCTCATGTAATATCCGATTGGAATATGTCGTTGACGTTTCGACATACCGGATTATGACACGTACCAATTCTATTGGTACACATAGAGAGTTCAGACTCTGATGGATTGTTGGAGCCAAATAACTCGACGTGGGACGTTGTCGATTGGGTGCAGAAGAAAAATACTCTTATATATATATATATATATATATATATATATATATATATATATATTTTTAAATATTTACCATGGACCAGGTACTATGGACTATGAAAAATAGTAATGAGCCATGAAGTAAAGAGCAATACATAACATAGTGACGGAAATAGCCCAATACTAAAACTTATAAAACAAAAAGGCTTGAATGATAATAGAATAGTATTTAACATACATTTTTAAGATAAATCGTAGTCTGTAATTTAAGAAAATGTAAATGTTCTTTACAAAGTTCTAGAATCATAAATAGTATTTGAGGATAGGAAAATGTGAAATCCGAGTTGCGCAGTACAGGAAAAAATCACTTCATTACATTACCTAAAATATTTTATAGTTTAACAGAGGAAGGAGCCGCAGACTATTATCTATTAAAATGAATTATCTGATTCAGCATAAATAATTCTTAATAAATAAATATATATTTGTATTTATTTTTCTGAATCAGCCTTCTCCATCCCTTCTTATCTTGGACTAAACCTTTCCAGTATGTTCAATGTAGCAACTGTTGATACTATTCATCTTGTTTTAGCCTCCTACAGGACTTCTAGCCAACTATTGAGGCATTCTTCGTTGTGTAAGGACTTCCTGATGGAATGATTCAAGTAATATTTCCTACCCATCATTACCTCCCTGCCTACATTCCATCTGATATTGATTCCATAATTGATTCGCTAATTTAAACCGTAAAACACTTTAACGTATTGTAAATAAAACCAAGCAATAGGTACAACATCTAAGGAAATATAAGATAAGATCAATAATGGAAATATAACAATTTTTTATTAAATTAAAAATTAAAAGTACACACAAATTTCAACTGATATCTGGGCTTTGGAAATTTATAGGAGAACATTTTAAGTATCAAAACCAATTAATCATAATATATGTCATCAATTGTGTTTAGCATTTTAATTATTAAAATAAATTTAAAAAATGCTACAATGCTACGTTTGGGATTAGAAGGTAATTAAAACTTCATTTAAATGCGTTATATATTTTTTTATAAAATATCTAAAATCCTGTCTTCACTCATGTTACCAGTCACACGCAGCAGTCTCTCATTAAAATTTAAATGATCAATTTCAGATCAATGTTTTATAATTAACGTGGAAGAGCATTGAAATAAAAACAATAAATATAAATCAAATAAATACAAATGAAATTGCTCAAATTTCTTTTCTTTTTTTTTCATTATCAATATTGATAAGTGAATAGTAATATTATCCCTTTTTATCTCCTCAGAGATCTTGAAGCACTACAGTAATTAGCTCCAGCTTAGAATTATCTCGAAAGGTATGTCTTGAATTTTATCACGTTCGATAATTTTGTTTTTCAAGATGGGGTCGAGTTACCGATTGGAATGATACATAGCAGAAGGCATAAGTACTTCAATAATGCTGTACATTGTCTAATATTCTAACAAAGGAACTCTTAACAAAACACCTAATTTTCAAACCGTGAGAAATAAACATCATGACATCAGAATACAAGCACAAGAAGAACTTTGTTGTTCCGAATCATAATTGGTTTGTTCATTGTTTTCTGCACCAGGAAAATAATTGCTTCCAAATATGTTTTATTAAACTGATATTTATTTGAAGATAAAAAAAAATAGTAAAGAACTTAACGTCCGTAAGTATTATCGTTCTCAATAACCGTACTACACGAGAAACTGTTGGTTTATTTCAAGAATCATCATAATGTGGACATGATGAGACCTATGGAAAACATGAATGAAAATGAGTCTTTGTTTATTATAGTGAGACTCATCACAACACCGCATTCCTAAGGTGGATCTGTCAATAGAGCGCTATAAAGTAAATTCTCATTGATATGTTAATCAACAATCAAGGACATGTGATGGAATCCACCTTGTGATATTGTGACAAAATGGTGCCTACTCAACCTTCCACTAGCTTCAATACTTCTTCATTAATAAATCTGTTCAATAGCAGATAATATTAAATTAATTTCATGATCACGCTTAAATGTAGGTTTTTCTATCCTCGTTCAGTTGATCAAATTACATAAAGATGCAGTTATTAATCACAAAATAACTCGTTTATCATTGTCAATACTCGTTTAGAACGTAATAAAATTAATAATAATTAAATCATCCATAAAGATTCGTAACTGATTTGTATTGCTTCTATAACTTCACAGCTAAACACTGTAATTCCATTCACACTTGATATATATATTCTTTATTAACGTGTACTGGTTATGTCATTTGAATAATATATACAATATTAATTGTTTGTTGAACTATATTTGTATAACTCTTATTAAATTCGAACCAAAGAGGTCAGAGACCAAAAACGAAACTTACCACGAACTGCTCTCAGTTCTTCTGCTTTAAGAGGTAGATGGATTGCGGAGTACAAGCGCTCACGCGAGATTTTATATCAGGAATACCATTTATTATTTTAATTTTTATTAAATAAACAAATTTTTTCTACTAGAAATGTTAAATAACAAAATAAATAATAATAAAATAATTCAAAGAATCATAGAGCAAAAATTATTTTAATTGATATCCCATAGTACCACCAGAATTTAAATTGAGAAAACAAAACAAAACGCAATACAATACTAAATATTAAAACTACATAGTATTTAACATTTTTCTAGACAGCTCATGGCTTCAGTTTATGTTCAATTGATTTACCAAAAGCTTCCTTAAGAAATTTTATTATTCAGTAAACATAATAAACATGTAATATTACATTATTACAATCGAACTTAATAATATATTATTTAATGTATCCATCCAATAGTGCACTTCTTTTTTTTATTTTGTTTTTTTACAAAATCAAAACGAACTGAGCAATTAAAAGATGTAAAGAAGAAACTTTGAAATCAACTGACAAATCTTTTTGAATTGATAAATCGAAGAGTAAAATAAGTTTTAAAAAAATTTGGTAGTATTACAGCAATGAATTTTGCAATAATTAAAAATACATTCTCGTATCTATTTAATGATGCAACCCTGTTGTTTACAATTTTCGTTATCTTTTAGGGTTTTTAAATGATTACGAGGAACCCCAAAAAGTATACATCTTTTTTTAAATGATTTCCATACTTTACAATTACAAAAAAAAAGTGCAAGAGTTTGGATATAATCTGGGTTTATAGAATTGATTTATATCGATCTGTCTTATTTATTTCGATGATGTTTCAATTACATTCCAAAGTATAAATTATTCGGTCTTTCATTGTGGAAAAGTCGAATTGGAAAATTAATTTTGAGTAGTACCTAGCATTAGTCATTTTGACTCGATGATTAAACGTATATAATACTTTTTGAGCTTATTTCATCAGGTTAATACTTAAATGCTGCTGAAGATAGGCTGAAGGAATAGAATCCAAGAGTCTAGGATGTGATTTCTCTCTTGGACATAAGTTGTGTAAAAGGTCTTGGATACAAGTCATATATGTTCTGTAATACTCGCGGAGGTCACTGAAACAAAGGTCAATACTTGAATGCTTTCAGATATTGGATAGACAGGAGGAAGAGTCTAGGATAAGAAGAAGCGGCGAGAACTAGCAATGAGAGGACGAAGAGGCGGGAATGGAGGGGCGGGAACCGGTCTCGAGGCGGGAGCTACTCTGGAATGTACGAGGTTCAGAGCCGAGAATGAGGCGGCATCCCGGGGCAATCCCCTTCCAGTTCCCGAGAAAGTAGGAGGAGATTCCTAGCGGCCGCCGGCATCCAGGTCAGTCCGCATAATACCGAGTCCCTCCGGCCTATAACTTTCTTGGAAACTATTCCGAGGGGGGAGGGAGGGAGGCAGCGAAAAGAGAAAATCTCACGCAAGTGGAGCACATGCCCTCTGAACCGACCGTTCAAATCATCTCCATATCCCAGCTGATCGGGAAGTACCGGCGGCCAAGTCCGGAAGAAGGAATAATACCTTGTGACCAATCAGTATCACGTTCATGACATCTGAGTAATACATCAACATACTGATTCAACTAACATAACATCAACAAGAAGTAAAATGAACGAACAGAGCAGTTCACAAGGTTATCTATTTTTTTGAAAGAATGACAGGAATGCAGAAGTGTAATTTTCAAGATGCCGACCGGAGTGGTTTTATCAAGGCTACACTTTTATACCCGGGACGCATACTACATATACAAAATACAGATATATTTAAATAAATGCTTTCAAGTAGTAAACAAGAGAACGTAATGGTATACGAAACATCGGACGATTAATTTGCATACTCAAGTTGGCAAAAGTAACAAGCAAACTTGAGGAATTTACAATATTTTCAAGTTTTGGAAAGTCATTATCTTGTAAAAAATAGTCAAGAATTGTATAGATCTAAGTAATTTGTGATTGATCAACATACAATTTTTTATGATATCATATATTTCCAAGACCGGAAAAAAATATTAGCAATCTTTTTTTTTGGCGCACTCACCTTTAACTTAAAACAGGCTGTTGGACGACGGTTATCCAAATGAAAAAAAAAATGCGAGACGAGAACGTAATCCAAAAGCGTAATCCACTGACGATGTACTCACAGAACTCTCACAAACACTGACACACAGCTTGGATTTGAAATGTTAGCGAGTGAAGGCGGGTAGGTGGTGGGAGTGTGCCCTCGGAGGAATGTGGGCATGCGCGCGCACTCTGCGGCAGCGCTGCCCAGCGGCCGACTCGCCAACTACCGACAGCATTCCTTCCAGCCCGGGCTCTGCCTGTCCGGCCGGCATTCCAAATGATCCTATACCCAGTCCTCACCTTCAGACTCATCTCTTCTCTGTTTGTTTACTTCTTGTCTACGCTCATTATGGAAAATATATTTTAGCAATTTTTTTATCTCATTTATTTTGATAATGAAGATTACAGGTGTGCTTTTAGTATAACTTATATTAATTTTGTTTTTGGGAATGTACTGAAAGAAAAAAATGTTTGTCTTCTGTATCATGTAATAATAACATGAATCTTTTTTTTGAACTTCGTTCCTTAGCCCATAGCTGTCGGAAATACTCCAACCTTTGAGTCTACTGTAGGGTATAATACAACTAGTAGCACTGATCGGCGTGAGGGAGAGGAGTGCCCAGCGGCATCCCTTCCTGTCTTGATCTTAATACACATTTTTACGCGTGTAATTCCTCGTCCTGCTTCTTTTAAGCCTCTTAAGCTTTTTGTCGGGTATGTTAATTACAGCCATACCTTGTATAACTCATATACATTATATGAGTGTGTTAGGATTTTAGAATATTTTGTTGTGTCCGTATTATCATTATTAGGTGGCGTTACGGCACACTTGTTGAATCAATGCCCTGTCATAGATTGTCATTCCATAAATGAATTGATTCATTATTTTTTATTATTCGTTTTATTTAAACATATATTTAATATTTCCAACAAAAAATATTTATTTGCTTCTTAAAAATTATGCTTAAAATTACATTCTTGTTTCCTGCTACTACCTTCCAGTTCCGGACACCAAGACTTTGACATATTTTTTTAAATTAAAAAAATATAATATTTATTCTTTACTTTTTTATTTTAATCTCATCTTATCGATGCATGTTCACACACAGTGCTGATGGATTGATAAATAAATAAATTGATGGAGGAAAGAAAGTTTTGAGTAACAACATTGATAATTTAATTTTCATTTTTGTCTTGTTTTCTCCAACAAGAACATACCGCATTAACATTACCGTTTATGTGATATTTTGGGGACATACTGAAAATGAATTGGAGGTGAGATCTTCCAGTCTGAACTATTAAGGATCTACATTCATGATGATCATGGCAGTGTACTGTAGCATCAGTCGATTTTAATTGCTGGCACAAATTAAATTATACTACCGTATTTGGATATATTGTTTTCACAACTATCAACATGCCGATGCCCGTACCCCCTCCATACCTATTAGCTCTGGAGCCAGGACCCGAAAATCGACCAGATCGCAGGCGAAGGTTTGAATATAAAATAGGAAAGTGTATGTTATTCTAAGTAAAAAGAACCTTGTCTGCCGTTTCAGAGCCCTTGCTTTAAAAAATGGCGGCTAATTCAGAGAATATTAGGCCAGTAATTAGAGAATCAAAACGGGAATCCATTGAGAAAAATGTGAGAAAAGATTTTATTTTTTCAACTTATATATATATATGGATTTAGAGATGTAAAAAACAAAATAGCTAACCTAGGCCACCAAGGGGAAACTTTTTACAGCCAAAAAAGTCAGATTTTTTTGATATTTTCTTGTTGTTTCACCTATAACTCCCAAACGATGAATCAAAGCAAAAAATATATTCTTTAATAAATTAAAGACCGTTAAGTTTTGCGCCGAACGAGTACATAAACTTTATAATTTGATAACGCGATAAGGTATAAAACCGCACTTAATCAACGCTGATTTTTACCAAATTTGTCGAAAACTGAGACAAATTATTATAAATGCCCCTGACACTTGGAAATGAGTTCTCTAAGTGGGAAAACCCGTAGAATCAAAAATGTAGAGCATCAAATTTTGCGTCCAACGAGTACTAACTAATTTAATGATAAAATAAAAAAAAATAAATGGTACCGCACGAGGGATCAAAAGGCTAAGTTGGTTATGAATTCCTTAACTAACAAAATACATAATTTGATAAAAAATTGGAAAACAATTATTTGGCAAGAAAAAATAGGTGCGACACACGGCGATTATCGGAAGTTTTGGAAAATAGTAAAAAATGTTAATAGGGAGTCTAATATCATCAAACTCCATCAAAATGACAGGTTATTAAACCCCAAAGAACAAGCTGTAATGTTAGCACAATACTACAGTGAAGAAATCAAAAAGAGAACAGGGAACTTGATTTCGTCTCCAATTTTAGAGAAGGAAAACAATTACAGGTTTGTTTCTTATAAACAATTAAAAACAATCCTCCGCAGGACTAAAGGAAACCGGGCATCAGGCGTTGATGGAATTCAGAGTATATTACTCAAACAGTTACCAAGGATAGGTATAATGTACCTGGTGAACCTTTACAACTCTTGTCTACGGCTTCGCTACTTCCCGGATTCATGGAAACATGCTGTTTTATTTCCACTGCTAAAACCAGCGAAAAATGGTAATAACCCAGCTCATTAGCGGCCGGTAAGTTTGTTACCTCACATTGCCAAAGTATTTGAAAAAATCATTTTGAACTACTTAAGAAGGTTCTGCACACAGAATGATTTGATCCCACCAGAGCAAAGTGGTTTTCAAGCTCAAACGTGCACTGAACATTCTTTAGTAAAACTACAGACGGAGGTAACAAAAAACTTAAATCGAAATAAGGCCACTGCTTTAATATCAATGGACTACTCGAAGGCATTTGATTCGGTTTGCCATAATCAGCTCTGCCAATGTCTCATAAATTTAGATTGTCCTGAACAATTATACTCATTGTTAAAATCATTTTTATGTCGTCGTACCTTATCAGTAAAAGTTGGCAATGAGAAATCAAACACTGTCGATCTCACTTGTGGGGTACCCCAAGGAGCTGTTTAATCTCCCGTTCTTTTCCTATTATATGCTGCGGAAATAGTGGGAACTAAACACCAAAATGCTTCTGTGACAGCATTTGCTGATGACATAGCTGTCTCAAGTAGCAGTATGAATGCCAAAAAGCTATGCAGCAGGCGGAAATAGCTTGTGAAAAAATTGCAAACAGCTAAAAATCCTAAACATAGATGTCAATCCGGAAAAGACGAAATGAATTATATTTTCATACCAAAAAAGAAAAAAGAAAATGCCAAATGAATTCAAAATTAACAACACCAGTATTAAATTATCGACTGACTTAACATATTTCGGTATTCACTTCGACAGACATTTAAAATTTACTAGACATTTTGACAAAAAAATTAAAACAGTAAGATCTAAGACATACAGACTCCAAAATTTAATTCGGACAACAAACCTATCTTTACGCCTAAAGCTTCTAATCTATACAAGTATAATACGGCCGGCTCTGTTGTATGGTGCACCTCTGTTCGAACACATCAGCAAAACAACTCTGGAAAGATTACAATATTTCCAAAATGGAATAATTAGAAAAATTGTAAGAGAAACCACGCTACAGAGAAAGAAGACAGTAGATATACAAGCAACACTAAACTTATCAACAATTAAAGAATTTTTCGCAAAAAATTAATATTCGCAAATATACCAACAATTGGCAAACCCTCTTTTTAACAATTTGTTACCAGCCAAAGTTCTAAGCTCTAGAAGATAAGGTCAACTCAAGCCTGAGGTGAACCCCATCACCTTTTATATTACAGAGGGAGAACGAAATACTTAGAAACGACTAAAATCTAAAAATAAACGTTACAATGCTTTTAAGCAGTAAAAGGTGTATTATTAAGACAATCCAAGGAATAAAGACAAAAATAAGTAGAAAGGGGCTATGAAAAAAAAAAAAACTAATTTAATGTAGGTCACTTACTCCGAACAAAATCGGTAAAATCCCGATGCTTAGAAATTGGTACTGAAGGTGAACGTTATTTTCAATATTTCAACAGTAGAACAGATATGTGTCTATTATACTGAGTTATTTTTGTTGAAAGTCTTTTACGTGCAGTATATGCCTCTTTTACACCTCTCAACAGCAAAGAATTTTGATAAACGATGTGTCGAAAGATACCGAATTTTATAAAGGAATGACGAATCCTCATTCGAGATATATAATTAGTCTACATTAA